TCGCTGAGCAACGAGCACGTGCTGTCCGCAGGCTTCGATATCAACACGCCTGACAACCTCGGGAGGACTTGCCTCCACGCTGCTGCTTCTGGAGGGTGAGCTGCGCCCCGGCCACCGCGTGCGGGAGGGGCATTGCCTCCCCAAGCCCAGACTGTGACCCCTCTCCCTCGGTGCCGTTCCTGGCTCTGTGAGGGAGCAGAGACCTTTCAGCTGATGCCTGAAAAGCAGCAGGGAGTTCGCTGGCCGTGCAAACGCCTTGTGGGGTTTGCCAGAGAGTTTGATTTCACGCGGCGCAGCTGCAGCAGCACAGCCGAGCAGCCGAGGCGTAGGGGTCCCGTCAAGGACCTCGCTGCTGTTACATCCACGCGACGCCGAGAGCTGGTTTTGATGTCGCAGCGCTGTTGCCCTGCCTACATCTTTTCCGTAGCCTGAAATCCAGTGTGTGGGCTTAGTGCCGTGGCTGATGCCTCTCTGGTTGCCTGGTCGTTGAGCTCTGGACCGTGCACGAAGGGTCATTTTGCGGGAGGGCAGGGAAGAGCTGTGCCCGCAATGAGGGGGGGTTGCATCCCTGCTGCGGTCCCTTCTGATCTGTGTCTTAACTCGTCTCCCTACCTCCTGTAGGAATGTCGAATGTCTTAATTTGCTGTTGAGCAGCGGTGCTGACTTGAGGAGGAGAGATAAGTTTGGAAGGCAAGTGTGCGACGGGCCTTGCGAGGGAGGAAGGGTGATTCCTCCAGCCTTAAACCAGCCGGAACACGCCGAGCCTGGGGTTGGGTTGGGGCGTTCCTAAGACCTTTGCTGCTTCTGATGTCCAAAACTGCCTCCTTCTCCCCCTCCCACCCCAGGGGGAGCTGCTCTGGCTCTTCAGAAGCTGCTGCTGACCCAAACCCTTGAGGCAGAGCAGGGTGCAGCTCAGTGGCGAGGGTCCCTGCGTCCTGCCTTGCTGCCCGGCAGCACTAAGTGTCCCCCTCTCCTCTCCTCTCCCCTTCCCAGGACTCCGCTGCACTCCCCCAGCGGCAGCCACCAGTGTACGGTGCCGCTGGTCCCGGCAGGAGCCGGTATCAACGAGGCTGACTGTAAAGGCTGTACCCCCTTACACTATGCTGCTGCTTCGGACACGTACAGGAGGTGAGTGTCTTGGCGCTGGAGGCGGTGGGG